CTTTTTTTTTTTTTTTGCTTCTTGCTCTCCTCACTCTCGGCTTCAATAGTTAACCAGACACACACACACACTTTGTTTTATATACATAACACACACACACCTTGAATCTTTAAAGTACACACACACACACACACACAAACTCTACACTTATGCACACACACTTTACTATACTTAGTCAAACACACACACACCCACACATGCAACAAAATGACCCATCACCGTGTGTTTGACACATGTATAGATATTTCATGAAATTTACTAATTTCACTTACCTCCCCCTAAATTCTTAAGTGATTCTAAAACCAACTCAATATTATTTTCATACAAAAATTTTATCTAATTAATAATTAATTTCACATAATTATGCTAATATGTATGAAATGCATGATTGGGTCTCACAAGATGGGACCCTGTGGTGCCCCCATTCTTTTTCAGACTGGGACTTATGTGTATACCAGAACTAGCTCTTATACTGTTGTAAGAGTTGAGACTTCAGTGCGGTCTTGCTACGGGGACTGTAGCTCCACATAGCTGTCTTGCTTCTAGTAGTGGCCCGATGTCAATCTAATATAGTCTCGCGGGTTACAGATGGCCTGAGCTTCAAAAATATGCCTAGCAAAAATAATATTATCCTAACATTAAAATATCTAACATGATTACCTGAAGAGAGAGAGAGAGAGAGGCAGACTATTTGCCTGAGAGCAAAGTTAGAGTTATGGACGTCCCGTGAGAGGGCCGCATGAGCTGAGGCTGAGTTACATATAGTCTCGGGGAATGGCTACCGTGGTAGAGGCTTACAAGGTGACTACTTGTGCGAGAGTAGAGTCTGAGGCTGAGCTACGCATAACTTGAGAGATGGTTGTCGTAGCAAAGGCTTACAAGGTGACTACTTGCGCAAGAGCACAATTATAGGCCGAGCTACGTATAACTCAGGAGATTACTGTTATAGTAAAAGCTTACAAGGTGACTGCTAGTGCGAAAGCAGAGTCATAGGCCGAGCTACTATAACTCGGGAGATGGCTACAGTGGTAGAAGCTTACAAAGTGACTGCTTGAGCGAGAACAGAGTCATAGGCTGAGCTACGTATAACTCGGGAGATGGTTATCGTGGCAGAAGCTTATAAGGTGACTGCTTGTACGAGAGTAGAGTCATAGGTTGAGCTACGTATAACTCGGGATATGGCTACCGTGGCAGAGGCTCATTTCATTCAGATGGAGATGAGGAGGGCGTTAAGGAGTTGGATGCCTAGTGGGCCCCTACTATTAGGCGCCTGGTGCTGGGTGCCTGGGCACTGGCCTGGAGTATGCCTACCTAGGCGCTAGCCTAGGCGAGGTCTTGAGATGCTTTGGTGGTGCCTCAGGTAACACAAGGAAGCGGTTAGGCAATCGTTTGATTTTGGCTTTGTCCCATATGAGGCAGCAGAGGTAGACGATGACGGAGAGGGCCTTGGTGAAGACTTTTGCCTTTTTGTCTACTTTGTTGTAAGGTCATGTTCTGAATTTTGTGAGCGATTTGTAAATTTTAGGAAAGCAAACAATTTTGGACACTATAATTTGCACAGAATTTTATTTTGTAAAATAATAAATAACTAAATCAACTGAAACAATAAAGGATAAATAAAATCTTTAGGTGTTCAGTGACCCATAGGTGGGCCGAGGCTTTCTTGACAGAGTTCGAATCAACTCCTCCTTCTGGCTCTTAGGAGATCGTCTGAATTTCTTTGAGGGATTGTTGGCGTTCTCAGTTATCTTGGTACCGACCAGGTGGTGGGGCTTGTTCTCTGCCAACAACGTACTACCTCAACTAGCCACACTATATGAGCTCCTCGATCTACCTTTTGAGATCAAAGCAGTCCTCAGAGACTTACAAGGTGATTACTTACACGAGAGTAGAGTTATAGGCCAAGCTACGTATAACTCGAGAGACGGCTGCAGTGGTAGAGGCTTACAAGGTGACTGCTTGAGCAAGAACAGAGTTATAGGCCGAGTTATGTATAACTCAAGAGATGGTTATCGTGGCAAAAGCTTATAAGGTGACTACTTGCGCGAGAGTAGAGTCATAGGTCGAGCTACATATAACTCGGGAGATGACTAACTTGGCAAAGGCTCATTTCATTGAGATAGAGATGAGGAAGGCGTTGAGGAGCTGGGCGCTTGGTGGGCCCCTATTGCTGGGTGCCTAGTACTGGGCATCTGAGGTGGGACGCCTGATGTTGGGTGCCTGAGGTGCCTGGGCGCTGGCCTGGGCGAGGTCTTGAGACACTCGGGTGATGCCTCGGGTAACACAGGAAAGTGGTTAGGCAGTCGCTTGATTTTGACTTTGTCCCATATGAGGCACCAAAGGTAGATGATGACGGAGAGGGCCTTGGTGACGACTTTTACCTTTTTGTCTACTTTGCTGTAAGGTCATGTTCTGACTTTGGTGAGCGATTTGTAAATTTTAGGAAAGCAAAACAATTTTGGACACTATAATCTTCGCAGAATTTTATTTCATAAAATAATAAATAACTAAATCAACTAAAACAATAAAGGATAGATAAAATCTCCAAGTGTTCAGTGTCCCATAGGTGGGCCGAGGCTCTCTTGGTAGAGTTCGAATCAACTCCTTCTTCTGGCCCTCAAGAGATCATCTAGATTTATTCGAGGGGTTATTGGCGTTTTCTGTCATCCTGGTTCCGACTAGGTGGTGGGGCTTGTCCTCTGCCAACAACGTACTACCTCAACTGGTCAGGTTGTATGAGCTCCTTGATCTGCCTTTTGAGATCAAAGTAGTCATCAGTGTCATGGTCGTAGTCACGATGGAAATGACAGTACTTGTTCAGACTTCTCCAATTTGGGGCGGTCTTCATCTTCTTTGGCCCGCGTACTGTAAGGTCATCCTGTATTTGGAACAGGAGATGCTCCACGGAAGCATTGAGTGGCATGAAGGCTTGCCGCTCTCTCAGAGGTAGGGGACCAAGGTGGTCCTTGATAGAGATTCTCTCTGTCTTATTCCTTTTGTTCCCTACTTGTTACTTGTCCTCACAAGTGTACTTCCTCTTCTCCCCTTCTCCGGAGGACTCACCTCGACGGGCCTTGGTGACGTCCTTAACAATCATGTACTTTTGTGCCATCGACAGTAGCTCGGGCATGCTAGAGTGCGACTTCTTGAAAACTGAGAACATGAAACTAGACGTGCGAAGGCCGACAATAAAGGCGGCCAAGGCTAGCTTGTCATCCGACACTTTAATCTAGAGAGCCTCCTCATTGAAATGGGCGAAGTAGTCTCTGAGGCATTCCTCTCTGTCCTGTTTAATGGTGAACAAGTGGTCACAGGTTTCTGATGTAGATGTCCCCCCATGAAGTGGGAGATGAAGGATCTGCTTAGTTCTACGAAGGAGTGAACGGAGAAGGGCTTGATCTTCGTGGACCATTGACAAGCAGACCCCTTCAAGGTGGTAGGAAAGACTCTACACATAATCTCCTTAGATACGTTGTGGAGTTGCATGAGGGATTTGTATGTGTCAAGATCGTTGAGGGGGTCTTTGGTACCATCGAAGATCTCGATGGTTGGCATCTTGAACTTTGAGGGTAGGGGATAGTTAACTATATCAGTAACAAAAGGTATATCGTTACGTCTTACCAGACAGTCCACGGTTTCAGGTGCCTGTGCTTGATGGCGTTGAGGGCATCACCGAGTTGGTTCTGCACCTCTCTAATATTCTCATTCCACTAATTAGGGACATCCATAGTCGGGTGGCGGTACTGGTTTTCATGGTCTCTATATTGGCTTTCTCCGTCTTTGTGCTCCTGCGCAGGTACATGCGAAGGGGGTACACGAGAGCTCCCTGCGCGTTGAGAATAGATTGTTGAGCGAGGGGCGCCCTGCTGTGGTCTTGGGGCATTTTGGCGAGGGCCCCCATGGTGAGGGGCTACCTGACGCCCCGAAGGGATGGACTGCTGCTCCTCTCTTGTTGGAGGGAGTGGGGCTCCTCCCACAGGCTGAGAGGCGACGCTCCCTGAGTGAGCATTACCTGAATGATCTGCTGGTTCTGTTTCACTAGCAACTGCATAGTTTATAAAATTTATTGTTGCTGTCCAGTCGCAGTAGCAGATGGTTCCGAGGGCACGAGGGGAGGCGGAGCCTCTTCCCAGTGGACTGGGTTTTTGTCTCCCGATTGTTGACTCATTAATCGGGTAGTGATTGTCATGGGTTTGAAAGAGAGTAGAAAAATTAGTCATTTCTCACAGACGGCGCCAAACTGATGATGCACAAATCGATATTGCGCAAGATCAACAGCCGAGTATATGAACGGGTGCAATTAATGAGCAATAATTAAGATAATCAATGTCAAAACGGTAAATATTGAGTCCACACAAAGATTTATAGTGATTCGGTTCGGGTGACCTACTCCACTCTCGAGAACGGCAGTGGTGACCTGAGATCTTTATTGATGAATAAAAGTCACCGGAAGAATGTACTCCGGGATAATTACAATGCCTTAGGTGAGAGAGACTAAGGAGATGTAGAGAGGTATGTAGAGGTTTCAAGGTCATGCCTAGATGTCTCTCCTTGTGGAGAGAGCTTACATTATATAGGTTTAGTAAGGCATAAGACGGTAACGTGAGAAAGAGGGCTTCTATCATTTTGGTAAGTACAATCAAAGCAAGATTAGATCTCTCGTGCGTATCTCAATATTCTCTCTCTCGTGCTCCTATTCAGTCGAAGGAGGATCTTGGGCTTGGACTTAAATTGATGGATACTGGACTTGAATTGGAGTGACCGAGTCAAGAGGACGAAAGACTCAACGAGATTGCATACCATTTTCGAGGGAGGAAATATTGACCGAAATTTTTTTTCTCTCTTTGTATGCGCACGTCTTATGTGTGTATGTATGTTCTATGTCTATGACATACGTGTGCGTTTGTTACGTGTTTTGGCTGGTTATAGGTTTCTGGATTGGATTTTGATTGATTTAAAAGTTCAATATAAATTCAATTCAAATCCTTGCACCAAAAGATATGGGTTATTAAACGAAAAAATTATTCTAATTAAAAATAAAAAAAAATATTGTATTCGTTGCAGGGTAGATGAGTTGTTTATTTTCGAAGATATTGCTCTCCTGATTACTAACCAAAGTTGTAAAATGAGTCACGAGGAGTTCTTTACAAATTCTTAAAGGGCCAGAGGTATCTTGTTGCCATCGGTTGTGACCATATATGGGATCTGGGTTTCTGGAACTATTTGATAAGATCTTTTCGAGATGACGGAAATGGAAGGAAGAATATGCTCGCTACACGGTACGAGGGTTTGGTTTCCAGTATTACTGATAAGATCACCGTTCATTGTACGTCTACTTGAAAGTTGGGTTTAATCAATTTCTTATATTTAAGTTTTGACAACAAATATTTGTTAATAGATAATATAATTAATTCATTACGGCTATCTCAACAGGGGTGCAGGAAATTTGTTTCAAATTGCCTGATATCAGATGTCCTCCAAGAGCTGATACGATAGTAGTTGAGGATGATACTGTGGTAACGTTGCAATTTGGAAGTTCATCGATATCAGATCCCGAGGAAGAAACGGTGGTGGGATTTGATGAAATGACGGTGAGGATTGTGGGTCAGCTTATTCTAAGAGGAGCAGGATCGGGATCTGATGAAATGCCGGGGGAGATTGTAGATCGTCTTATTCGAGAAGGAGAACGATGGAAGTCGGANGATGAGGATTGTGGGTCAGCTTATTCTAAGAGGAGCAGGATCGGGATCTGATGAAATGCCGGGGGAGATTGTGGATCGTCTTATTCGAGAAGGAGAACGATGGAAGTCGGACCACTTGCAACTACAATGGAAGGAGTGGATGACGAAGTTGCACGACTTGCAACTAAGGCACGTCCCAGTTTGTGGAATTGTCGGTATGCTAGGAAGGGGTAAGACAACTCTAGCCAGAAAAGTGTACAATGATCGTTCCATTGCATCTCACTTCAATGTTCGAGCGCGGATCGGTGTTCCTAAAGTGGATCGACAAAGGGATTTTAGCATTTCAAGTCCTGCTCTCCTGATTACTGACCAAATTAGTAGAATAAGTCATGAAGAACTGCCTGAAGTGCTTTACAATTTCTTAAAGGGCCAGAGATATCTTGTTGTCATCGATTTCGACCGTATATCGGATGTGGGTTTCTGGGACTATTTGAAAAGATCTTNTGAGGTATTTTCCTCTTGTGATTTACACCTTGGTGTGTTTGTAAGGCTTATGCCTTTTGGCCACTTTGTAATCTGATTTGGTGATAGTGGAAGAAACTGACCTACCGGTCGTCGTGGATGTACCTCAAGTTATTTGAGGGAACCACGTAAATCTTGTGTGCTTATTTATTTTCGATTATTTTATTTATATTGCTTCCATTGATTTACACTCGTGGAAAAGCCTATTTTCCCAACAGAAAAGCCTATTTTCCCAACAGAGTTATGGGATAGTGGAAAGCAAATAGCAGCAAAATGTCATGGACTACCACTCACAATAGTAGTCATAGCAGGACTTCTTGCCAAGGAAGAGAAGACCCAACATTTTTGGGAGCAAGTTGCCCAGAGTATAAGTTCGTACGTGGCTGTGATACTTGTTTTCTCCTTCAAGTTTGATTATTCTCTAGAACGTGCTTACTCCAAAGATATTGAGAAGTCTCTAGACCTTCGTTACATCAATGAAGAAATTGAAGCCACTATAAAGAAGGAGATCAGTAAGCAGAGAGACAAGAAAATGTACATCAGAATACCACAAGTTGAGATGACTACCTATGGAAGTTCGTCAACAGCGAGTACTGGCACTGTGGTGGAAATCTTGACCAGTGGGAGTTTGTCAACACACAGAATTCTGAATGCAGGACAAACGATCAGGAGGAGACCTTCAGCAGCTTGTATTTCACAATTAGATGACGAAATTGTGGTTGGCTTTGAGGAGGAAGCTGAGAACATTAAAGAGCAACTTGTAGGACGAAACAAGCTACACGTTGTGTCAATTGTGGGAATGCCTGGACTCGGTAAGACAACGCTAGCCAGAAAAGTGTACAATGATCCTTACATTGAATATTACTTCTATGTTCGGGGTTGGGCCTATGTGTCCCAAGAACATTCAATGAGGAATTTGTTACTTGACATTTTAGATTCTGCTTTTCAGCTTGGAGATGATATTTGTGAAATGAGTGATGAAAAATTAGGTGAAGAGCTATACAAATGCCTAAAGGGTAAGAGGTACCTGATCGTGTTGGACGACATATGGAATATTGGGGTCTGGCATGATTTGGCAAATCTTTTTCCAGACGACAATAGTGGAAGTCGAATTATGACCACTAGTCGGATCACAAATATTACTTTGCATGCTAAATCCAACANAGAGGTACCTGATCGTGTTGGACGACATATGGAATATTGGGGTCTGGCATGATTTGGGAAATCTTTTTCCAGACGACAATAATGGAAGTCGAATTATGACCACTAGTCGGATCACAAATATTACTTTGCATGCTAAATCCAACAGCACTCATTGTTTGAGTTTGTTAACTGAAGACAAAAGTTGGGAACTCTTGCAACAGAAGATATATCAGAGAGTGTATTGTCCTCCAGAACTGGTGGAAATTGGTAAGCGAATTGCAGCCAATTGTGGGGGACTACCACTTACGGTAGTTGTAATTGCTGGAATTCTCGCAAAGACAGAGCAAACACTTGACTGGTGGAACCGAGTTGCTGACAAAGTAAATTCGTACACAGTTGGAGGTCCAAATAAGTGCATGGACGCACTAGCACTAAGTTACAACCACTTGCCTCATCACTTGAAAGCGTGCTTTCTCTATTGTGGAGCATTCCCAGTTAACTATGATATCCCAGTGTGGAAGTTGGCATGGTTATGGATAGCTGAGGGATTCATTCCGCAAGTTGGGCAAAAGAGCTTGGAAGACGTAGCGCAAGATTACTTGACGGAGCTAATCGATAGAAGTCTAGTATTAGTTGCCAAAAAGAGGTCTGATGGTGGAGTTAGAGCATGCCGTCTCCATGATCTGTTGCGCGATTTTTGCTTGATAAAAGCTGATGAAGAAAATTTTCTGCTGCAGATTAATGAGTACGAACAAGTTATATCTTTTTTAGGTCTGCCAAAGAGACATCGTCGCCTGTGCATCCATTCTCATGTCTTTCATTATGTTCCTTTAGAGCTTCCTACCGCACACATCTGTTCTATCTTATGCTTTGGTCCTGAATCTGACACACTATCTAGGAAGCATATGTCACACATTTATCAGACCTTAAGTCATCTGAGGGTCCTGCATTTTTCATCCATCCCTATCATCTTCTTTTTCGAGGAATTGTTACAACTTGGTTGTTTGAAGTATTTAGCGATGCAGATTAGAGACGGGAATCTTCCGGCATCAATATCCAACCTCAGGAACCTACAAACACTTATTATATCATCAAGGATCAATATTACCATACCGGCAAGTATTTGGAGCATGGTAACATTGAGGCATCTGTTAATTACATCAGGAGAAAATGACATTGCAAAACTTTATATTCATGATTATCGCTTCTCGTTGCATAACCTCCAAACCATGTCGCAAGTATGTCTTTCTAGTTCTTGTCNCGTTGAGGCATCTGTTAATTACATCAGGAGAAAATGACATTGCAAAGCTTTATATTCATGATTATCACTTCTCGTTGCATAACCTCCAAACCATGTCGCAAGTATGTCTTTCTAGTTCTTGTCAAGATGTATTGGAAAGGGCTCCTAATCTTAAAAAGTTGGGATTTTGTGGACCTATGTTGTCAGAGTTAGGTTATGTGGCATTCCCGAATCTAGACTTCTNTCAAGATGTATTGGAAAGGGCTCCTAATCTTAAAAAGTTGGGATTTTGTGGACCTATGTTGTCAGAGTTAGGTTATGTGGCATTCCCGAATCTAGACTTCTTAAACCATCTTGAGACATTGAAGTTTCTAGACACAAACACTCATGTTCGCGGATCACGGAATCTGCAATGGGACAAGTTTCCTTCAAAACTTAGAAGGCTAACGTTATCAAATACTGATGTGAAGTGGGAAGATATGAAAATCCTTGGAATGTTGCCCAACCTGGAGGTTCTCAAATTAAAATTTCATGCCTGCTTGGGGGAGCATTGGAAAACAAATGATGGGGGGTTTCCTCGACTAAGATTGCTGAAAATTTTCCACTCAAATATTGTAACATGGGAAACTTCTAGTTCTCACTTTCCAAGCCTTCAGAAATTGATGCTGCAAGGATGTTCTCAACTCAAGGAAATCCCTTTGGAATTAGGGGATATAATCACACTGGGGATTATTGAGCTCATTGATTGTAGCCTCTCTGCCACAAAATCTGCAAGACAACTTGAGGAAGAGCAACGGAATAATGGAAATGATTGGTTGCGGATCCTCACCAGCGCTGCATATTGGGAGGAGCTCACCACAAATTCTTGACACTATGATGAGTATTTATTTCCCACTCATGCTGAGGTCATCTAAGTTGGTTGTACAGGTATTCTCAAGTTCATGCCTTACCTTTACAATCGCACAAGCTTCGTTCTCTTTGTTCTTCTAATGTGTTGCCTGTCAGTTAGATTTCCTGTTTACTAGGCAGAAATTGTTTTACTTACTTTTTGGAACTCGGACAGCAAACAAAGTTGGATAACGCATTAGATATATCTATAATTGCCATATAATGCACCATTGCAATTATAATAGTGGAATACCAAAATCTTCATCACAACATAGTTGTCCTTGTCTTCAGTTTTTTTTAGTAATTTTCTTGTCTTTTGGTTTTTACATTATGACACTCATTCTCTAGTGTCTTTCTTGTCCTCAACTTTATCATGTTGAAGGTACTGGGAAGAGCACATGAGCGACAATATCACAGAGTTGGGAACAGCCTCCATCCATGGAAGCATCCAATATTATCCAACTCTGCATTTAGCTCATCAATTGTCTTATTTATTTGTTGCATTGGTGGTCCTAAAACATCATAATAACAAAGGAGATCAACTGCAAGGAAATACCTAAGGAGGAGGAAAAACGAACACCATAAAGATGTTTAATAAGTTGCACTGAGCCCATTTTATGCACCAAATTTCTAAATTCAGGGTTAGATTCGAAATATTCCTATTCTGTCCACACTTTCGTGGATATCAACTTGGACCAGTTCATGTTCCTGGTTTGATTATTGGGACCGATCTAAAAATTATGTGTAGCTATAAATGAAATTGTTTGTAGCCCTGTTTTTAGTTGTCTTTTGTCCATACGCACAGTTGTTGATACTCAGATTTGCGAAATGGGAAAAAATGTTGTTTTGAAACAATATTACTCTGTATAGGCAAAGCTTTGAACATGTTATGCCACTGGGAAAAACATGCACTGTTTGTAGTTTGACCTGGAATACTTGTTGGACTTGATGATTCTCGAGAAATGTAACTACGGTGATTAGTTTTAAAGTCATGCTAATTTATCTGTCACAAGTTATCTGGTTTCCACCGTTACTCATCAGCAGTCAAACGAAAACTAGAACACCATATTTTTTTGGTGTAGTGACTCATAAAATGTAGTTATTTCTTAAAAGAACAATGATGTTTGCCTCTTGTACAATGCTTGACTGTGCTACAAAATATTGTATGTAGGAGTTGGAAAATTCAACTATCCATAAGACAAAACTTGTTATTCCATCACCCTCCACACCCATGGACCCCAAAGAACAAAGGAAAAATTTCTGAAGGAAAGATATTTTT